GAGGGTGCTACTGCGGAGGGTGCGGAGCCTGGGGGTGCTGAGCCGGGGGTTGCTGTGCCTGGAGGTACTGGGTCTGGGGGTGCTGCGTCTGGAGCTGCTGAGCCTGGGGTTTCTCCTGCTGCTGCGTCTCGCCGGGAGCCCCTCTCTCCACAGGAGCTGCGCGAGTGGTTCGCTCGCCGCTGGAGGCGTGCTGCTGAGTCTGGAGGTGCTGCTGGAGCTGGAGCTGGAGCTTCTTCGACTGTCGAGGGTGCGGGTGCAGCCGGTCCCGGAGCTGCTGGCCCTGCAGGTCCTCCTGGAGCTGGAGCTGCTGAGGGCGTTCGTGCTGAGCCTGCTGCTGTTGGTCCTGCCGCTGGAGGTGTGGGTGGCGCTGGTGCTGTCGCTGAGGGTGCTGGTGCTGTCCCTGCTGAGTCTGGAGCTGCCGCGCGGCCTTGGCCGTACTTCGTTCCGCTCCTTCAGCAGGTTCTTGGTCTTTCTCCTCCAGTAGAGGGTCCACCGCCTGTCCAGTCGCAGCCCCTACTGGAGCCTTCCTCTCCACTGCCTGCTCCCTCTCCTTACACTGGTCCTACTGGAGGTCTTGCTGAGCGTCGTGAGCCTGCGTCTCGTCCCGCGTCGCCTGTTCGTGCTGCTCGCGCTAGTGGTCGCAGTTCGCGTCAGCGTCCTCCTCCTGTCCCTGGCACGCACCGGATGTCTTTACGTCCGTCCACTGCTCCTCTGCGTGCCCCTTTGCCTTCTCCTCCTGAGTCCTCTCTTCCTGCGCTTGCGGACCCTGAGTCGGACTCTCTTCGTGCTGCCAGTCCCACTGTCACGCGTCTGCTTGCTACTGTAGTCACTGACCCCTCTTTTGAGTCCACTGCTGCGTCTGCTCTAGTCGCTGAGCTCGTCGACTTTGCTGCTCGCTGTCGTCTCGACTACGCTGCTAGTCTTGTTGCTGAGTCTGCGTCTGTCTGTCCTCCGTCCGTCGGGGGTGAGTGTGCTCTTGGCACGGACGTCCTAGAGGACAGGCAGGAGGAGTTACAGTGTCTAGCGGCTGCTTCACCTCATCTCGCGTCTGTACTGCTTGCCCCTGAGGGAGACCCGGATGCACTAGACATCCCGACTCCGCGTTCTTACGCGGAGGCCGTAGAGGGTCCCTACTCCTCTCAGTGGCAGGCAGCTATGGATGCAGAGATGGCTTCCTGGAAGTCCACAGGCACCTACGTTGACGCGGTTCCCCCTCCTGGGGCGAACATCGTCAGTGGCATGTGGATCTTCAGGGTGAAGCGGCCGCCGGGCTCTCCACCTGTCTTCAAGGCACGGTACGTTGCTCGTGGCTTCAGTCAGCGGCAGGGAGTTGACTACTTTCAGACCTTCTCTCCCACCCTGAAGATGACTACTCTTCGGGTGCTGCTGCACATAGCCGCTCAGCGCGACTACGAGCTTCACTCTCTCGACTTCAGCACTCCGTTCTTGCAGGGTAGCCTGCACGAGGAGATCTGGCTTCGCCGTCCACCTGGCTTCACTGGGACTTTCCCTCCTGGCACCCAGTGGAGCCTCCGACGGCCAGTCTACGGTCTCCGCCAGGCACCGCGTGAGTGGCACGACACACTGAGGACTACGCTTGCGGCTCTTGGGTTTGCTCCTTCTACTGCTGACCCGTCGCTGTTTCTTCGCACCGACACTTCCCTGCCGCCGTTCTACATCCTCGTGTACGTCGACGACCTGGTCTTTGCCACAGCGGACACTGCTGGACTCGCCTACGTGAAGTCCGAGCTGTTGAAGAGACACACGTGCACAGACCTGGGTGAACTGCGCAGCTACCTTGGCTTGCAGATCACTCGGGACAGAGCACGCCGCACCATTACCTTGACTCAGTCACACATGGTGCAGCAGGTCCTTCAGCGCTTCGGCTTCACGTACTCCTCGCCTCAGGCCACTCCTCTGCCTACTCGCCACTCACTCTCAGCTCTGCCTTCGGATGAGTCCGTAGAGTCGAGTGGTCCGTATGCGGAGCTTGTTGGCTGCCTCATGTACCTGATGACCTGCACACGACCTGACCTTGCATACCCTCTGAGCATTCTTGCACGCTATGTTGCTCCTGGGAGACACAGACCGGAGCACATGGCTGCAGCGAAGAGGGTATTGCGCTACCTGTGCAGTACGTCAGGCATGGGGCTAGTGCTTGGAGGGCGGAGTCCAGTGGTCCTTACCGGCCACGCGGACGCTTCTTGGGCTGACGACCAGGCTACGCAGCGGTCGTCACAGGGTTACACCTTCAGCCTTGGTTCCGGCTCTGTCTCGTGGCGGTCTACTCGCTCGTCTTCGGTTCTCGGCTCCAGTTGTGAGGCTGAGATCTACGCCGGGGCCATGGCTGCACAGGAGCTTCGCTGGCTCACCTACCTGCTGACTGACCTTGGAGAGCCGCCTCGTTCTCCTCCAGTGCTGTACGTAGACAACAAGGCTATGCTGGCCTTGTGTCGAGAGCAGCGCTTGGAGCACAGAACGAAGCACATTGCTCTCCGCTACTTCCTTGCTCGTGAGCTGCAGCAGCGTGGTCAGTTGCGACTTGCGTACGTGGCCTCTGAGGCCAACACTGCTGATGTGTTCACCAAGGCACTTGCGCCTTGTGACCATCAGCGCTTCTGCACCCAGCTGGGTCTTGTGCCTGTCTTGCCTCACTTGCTCTCCTCTTGACTTCACTTGTACTGTGACATATATATATACCTGCTCTTGCTTGTCTAGCTTTATATATATGTCTGTACTCTTGCTTGTGAACTGGCCTTTGGCCTTGCTCTTGTGCTCGGACTGTGTGGTGACTTTGTGATCCACCCTGAGCTTTGCTTTGTCTTGCTTGACTGGTCTTGTGACCCCTTGTTCTCCCCCACCTTGCCTATGGGGGTGTGTCAGAACATATCTATAGCTTATACTGCTGTGTAGGCTGTAGTGGGGTATCCCATAGGGGGTACAACCCAGTTAGGGTTTCATATTTGTACTGCTTTCATTCATAGTTCATTCATTCCTGCTTACTCTTTTCACAGTCAACCCTTCCGCGGCCTCGGCGAAGTTTGCTGGTAACGACAAAACGGTTCTGCCAACAGCCCATGTTTTTTCCGTTCACCATGCCCATTCTGCCGAGGATGCTCAAAATGTTTCATCCCAACCACTCACAAATCTTCAACCTTTGGGTTCACCCTTGCCTCTCGTTTGGTATGTTTTTGTGGTGAGTTATTTCGTCTCAAAGTTTCCCGAAATTGGGCGTTCAAATCTGCCCGTTATTGCTTGTGCGTCCCCTTATCCTACCTCGGATGGGCGGTTAGGGTTCGAACGAGCGGTGCCCCCAGTTTGCCCGTAACAAAAATTTCCCAGTAAGGTCCGAAACACTAGTGGTGATGCGTTCTTGAACCCTTCGACGCACAAGAAATGCTACCTGGTTCGGTATGCAATAACTAGTTGGGAGGTTCGACATGGGCTTTAAGCTCTGTTATGCGCTTTCCTAGAATATTTCTCAGGGGGCCCAAGCACCCCGAATGCGGCAAAAAAACGGCGGTGTTCGCCACGACCACGTTAAAGGCTAGGGGCAAGGGATTGGCGGGGGATCCAGAAGGTGCGCCGGAAGATGCGAACTACGTCCGGTGGCTCGCCGTCGGGCAAGGGGATCTCGAAATTTCGCCAATGGTATCAGGAAGGGTGACAAGTGGATCTAGCACCTGCCTCCCCCTTCCTTTAGGGCGAGATTTCCCGGCCATCCCGTTCCGCGCCCCCAAAATTCGTGGTATGCACGAGGGAGAGGCGAGGGAGGGGATGGGGTTCCTAGCTGGTAGGGCAAGAAACTGCCATGCGCATTCCGGATCCCCCGCCCATCCCTTTGATGGCCCAAAAAATTGGGAGTCCCTCCCATTTCAGCTTTCCAGTTCAACCCAGGCAGGCTCGCTCAGAGTGGCAGGCTGGAGGGTATACGCTGCACTAGTTTCGATTCGGTTCAAATTAATGTTTTGTAGCACGCTCTTTCAAACGATGAGAGATCGTGCCCGTTCTTGATTTTCTTTATCCATATCGACCGTTTTTCATTTGGCGGACTGATTTTTTGTTTGTGGTTGGGGCAGCCTTGTACAGCAGTAAAAGTTTCGGCAAGTAATTTCCCAAGAAACGCGAGGAAACTTCTTGCATTTGGGAACGAGACTTCCTTTCAGTGTAAGTGGACGCCCGAGGCTACGAAACATTTCGTAGGCTTTCCCAGTTCGAGTGGGCCCAGTGTAACTGGAAGGCTACCGAACAGGGCCCCTGATTTCAGCCCTTTCGGAAGGTGCGGGGCGGGTTCCGGATTCCCCGCCCATCCCTTTGATGGCCTACGAAAGGCGTGGCGAACAGGGCCAACGAAACAAGCAATCTCCGCACGAAAACACGAGCCTTCCTACTACATTACGTCACCTGGGGGACCCTGACCGTTCCACCTTTCCAAACGAAACATCTGTAGAGCGCGGTAACCTTTCTGCCATACCTCCTCCAGTCCAGTTCTTCTGCCCCTCATCCCCCCCATGAGACCTCTCCCGCATCCCCCCGAGTCTTTCCCCCCATTCCCCCCACCAAACCTTCCAGAACCATCTCCGCCAAACGTCACTCGATGACACGCCCTTCACTAATCACTTATCTCCACTTCCCCGTCCGTCACTCTCCACTTCACTTACCCCTAGTCGCCTCCATCCACTTACAAATAGAAGTGAGCTTCATATGCACTTCAATCTTCGCTTCTATTCCTCAATCTTGGCAGACAAATTCCCACGTCCGTCCATTACCTGCACTGATGAACCACGTTTGTCATCCTCTTCCCTCTTCTCTGCTTAACTGACATATTTCCGCCGAAGCCGGCCGCTAGATGTCCTTTTAGCTGAGCAAGCAGGCTTCTCATAACGATTTTGATTTGACCTTGTCAACACGTGTTTCCAATGGCAACCGCTGGCAGCCAAGCTGTTTCCTTCTTCCACGGGGCGGCCTTCGCCCATCCTTTCACTCACGACATCAGCGTCATGAGATCCAACGCGGCGCTGGGCGACGCGCTGGCGACAGCGGAGCGAGCCATCGCAGGCCTCGCCCAGGTCGTCGACGTCGTCAAGCGTCGCCACTCCGCGCCGTCGCAGTTTCATTCACTCGGCGCCCCTCCGCCGCAGTTCCATTTTAATCAGCCGCTGCCATTCCAAGCCAGCTATGTCCCGTGCGCCGCGCCTCTCCCCGCATCTGCCGGCGCATCTCCCGCGTCCTCCTCCGTCTCCCAGCACTCCGCCGCCCCCCGCCCGCGTGTCGCCATTCCGCGCTCAATCGCCGTTTCCGGCTCCAAGCGCAGCGCGGCGGCGCTTGCGACCACCTCGAGACCCGCGCCGCCGCGTGCGAAGCGGGCAAAGCGCGCCAAACGCTCCGCAACCCCTGAATCTGCTCCGCCCTCGCTCGTCCCGTCCAGCGGCTCCGACTGCGAGTCGGAGGCAAGCGGCTCGTCGACACCGCCGAAAACTGAAGCTCCCGTCGCAGGATCCGTCGCAGAATCAGTCGCAAAAGCAGTCGCATACAAGGGCGTGCGACAGCGCAAGTGGGGCAAGTGGGTGTCGGAGATCCGCGAGCCCAACAAGCGCACGCGCATCTGGCTGGGGTCGTTCGACTCGGCGGAAGACGCCGCGCGCGCCTACGACGTGGCCGCGCGTCTGCTGCGCGGATCCCAGGCGGCGTTCAACTTCCCCGGAGATGACACCCATTCCGTTCCGCTTCCGTCAGCGACGGCAGAGGCACTCCTGAAGGCGAGCCGCGAGGCGGCGAAGACTTTTGATACGGCCGACGTGGCTGACGTTCTGGAGAAGTCGCTGCTTGCTACTAACGGAGCTCTTCTTGGCGCGGATATCACGATTCAGCTCCCGAAGGCTGGACCGGCGGAACCAGCTGCTACAGATGCAGCTGTAGCAGCAGCGGACGGCGCCGCTGAGTTGCCTTCTACGTCTGATCTGACCACTAACAGCGTGTTCGACGATATTCCCGCGGATTCAATCTCCGCTGTTGATGCCCTTTCCGCGCCTGTTCGCAGCGCCAGTGGAGTCAGCATCGCCTGCAGCGAGAGTGACTGTATCGAGTCGCTTCTGACGGATCTGGAGGAGCAGCACGGCGCTGAGCTGGCGCTGACGGAGGCTGAGCTCTCTGGGAGCCTGTTCCAGGGTGTCATGGAAGATTTTGACCTGGCAGCTGCGTGTGGTGACGTGGAAGGGTTTGAGGGTGCTGCTGACTTCACCATGGATCTGTGGGGGTGAGATAAACATGTTTGGATGTGGAATGGGGTAAATCTGCATACCCAGATTCAGGTTAGGGGTTTGCTCGTGGTTTGTTAATGTGACAAGTCCCTGGCCGCTCGGTCTGTGGTTCATAAGGCTGTGCAGGGTATCATGTGGCTACTGGCTGAAGAGAATCATGGAGAGAGCACAGCTTGTGGCACGCAGATACTCTAGCGTCGCCTTCTTAGGTCTGCTGTGCTAGCTCTATGATTCCGGTCACATGATGCTCTGCATGATGTACCTTGTAATGGACTCTTTAGTATGGTTCAATTATTTCTACCTCTGATTCTGTATCGGGTTTGGGGGTTTAGGACCATCATAGACGGTTTGAGCTGCTGACTCTTGAAGCCTTTTCTATTTTTCATTATATTTCTCTCTTGTGCATCTACATGTTCAATCACGTACCTCTGATCAGTTACGACTGCGAATGCAATGTGCTTTATAGTGTATGATTCGAAGATAACTCGGTCTCTGGCTGGGGGGTGCTCCAGGATTTCGGTCTCGTGGCGTGGCACCTAGGAAACTCCCAGCACACCACCTCCTTCCTCTCCCTTGGCAAAAACGTACCGCGAATGGTAACCCTCCATCCGTCCAGCGCAGGCCACGTCAACATGAGCGAGATTGATTGCGTTGCAACGCGCAACCGAACCAAACCCAAATCAACCACGAAGAGACGGAATGCAACTCACCAGTTTCACTCTACTCCCCACCTCACCTCGGGTCACCACCACCATGAGTACAGTACATACCAACACGCAGGCAGTGCAGCAAGGACAAGATAGGAACGGCCGGGGCAAACCCCCCACATGACTCACATGAGTCAAGAAGAGGCTGTCGGCTGTTGGCTGTGCTGTGTTGCATGGATTGCACGTACTGTACTCCCGTAAACTTCCCTCCCCGCCTCTCCCCTCCCCTCCCTGTCCTTCAGAACCAGCCCCACCCCAAGATCCTCGACCCGCTTCCTCACTCCTCCTCACCCCACCCGCAGTTGCCACAGTTTGACTTTACCCGTCTGATCCGTCCTGGTCCCTCGGAGTACGGAATGAATCTTTAGCTTGAGTGGTTAACGTTCATGAATGCAGTATCAGGAGGAGGAGGACGGCGGCTGACGACGGCTGAGTTCGATTTTCAACCTAGTGCCGCTGCTGCTGCCGTCTCCCTTGGCGTCGCAAGCGCCGCAATGCTCTTGCGATCGAATCACAACTTCAAGTTTGCCAGACTCGGCGCTACTCGCGAGCCGTCACTTGCGATCGACTGCGATAGATTCCCCTCGTCGCACTTGCTGACTCGACTGGTAACATATATCGCGTAGTGCTCGCTGACAGACTACTCGCTATGGTTGCGCGAAACCAGGGGCGTGCGGGCGCCGCAGGCTCCGCGGGTAACGCGGGGAACAATCAGCAGCAGATAAGATCTTCTCAGGAGATTCCTCAGAGCATCTTACGCTCCATGATGACGTCAGCGGCGGGGCTCGTACCCCCGCCGCCGCATTTGCCGGTTCCTGCTAGCGTCACGCCCGCCTTAGATCTGGCCAGCGCTAGTAGCATCTTCGCGCTCCTTAATCCGGATCTAGCAATGGCGCGGCTCGGGGGAATGGCGCAAGCTGGTAACGGCGGTCGCGGCGGTACTGGCGGCGGCATTAGCGGCGGTGTTAGCGGCGGTACGAACGGCGGTATTCGCGGTAGCGGTGGTAACGTGGCGGGGCAAATTCTGGGCTCAGCAGGTGGTTCGCTTCCGGTGTCGGCGGCGGCACGCGCAGCGCCGCATTCGTCGCCGTCAGCTCCGCCGCCGCTTCCGCCGGCGGCGGTATGGCCGGCGGCTCAGCAGATCGGGGCGCATCTGACGGCTAGCTGGGGAAACATGGGGCCCGAGACTGCCAATGCACTCGTTACAAGCAATCGCGGTTCCGCTATAAGCATACCTGGTAGTAGTAACGGGGACAGGTCTATGGGTAGCGGCGATACTCAATGTGGCACATGGGCCCTGGGCCAGGTAGGTCTTTCCGCTGGAAACAATGATAGGACTTTCCAGTTAATTCAGCCAGCTGCACAGGCGTCACTCGGTCAGGTGAATCCTCAGGTGAATAATCAGGTGGCTCCTCCGCGGCCTATTGCGGGGTTGCTTCTGGGCCAATATCTTATGGCTCAGCAGCTGCAGCGGCAGCAGCAGCAGCAGCAGCAGCAGCAGCAGCAGCAGCAGCAGCAGCAGCAGCAGCAGCAGCAGGAGCAGCAGCAGCAGCAGCAGCAGCAGCAGCAGCAGCAGCAGCAGCAGCAGCAGCAGCAGCAGCAGCAGCAGCAGCAGCAGCAGCAGCAGCAGCAGCAGCAGCAGCAGCAGCAGCAGCAGCAGCAGCAGCAGCAGCAGCTACAGCAGCAGCTACAGCAGCAGCAGCAGCAGCAGCAGCAGCAGCAGCAGCAGCAGCAGCAGCAGCAGCAGCAGCAGCAGCAGCAGCAGCAGCAGCAGCAGCAGCAGCAGCAGCAGCAGCAGCAGCAGCAGCAGCAGCAGCAGCAGCAGCAGCAGCAGCAGCAGCAGCAGCAGCAGCAGCAGCAGCAGCAGCAGCAGCAACAGCAGCAACAGCAGCAACAGCAGCAGCAGTTGCAGCAGCATCAGCAACAGCAGCAGCAACAGCAGCAGTGGCAATTAGGCAGTACATTGGATTCGCTGTGCCTACCTTTCCCAGGCACCAGCACAACAGCAGCAGCGAATCTGTCCAATTTTGCCGCCCGCACTGTTTACAGAACCCCTTCCGGTACGAGCAGCGGCACTAGAGGCGGCAATGCGGTGCAAATGAGCGGCAGTGCGGTGCAAATGAGCATAGGTAACACGTCCCTCTCGTTACAGTCACAACCCAGCCCCATGTCTGGCAACAACATGTCTCTCTCGTTACAGTCACAGCCCAGCCCCATGTCGGTGGCAGCAACGTTTGACGCGCCTCAGCGCTCGCTACAGTCACAACCTAGCCCCATGTCCGTGTCTGCAGCAGACTATCTTGATCTCGCTGCGTGCGCCTCCCTTCCCCAAGCCAGCAGCCCATCCCTCTCGTCCCAGCCACCACTGCAACACACAGGAGGAGGAGCAGGAGCGGGTGTAGGAGGAGCAGTAGGAACAGGAGGGGGTGGAAGAGGAGCGGGAGGAGCAGGAGCAGGAGCAGCAGTAGGTTATGCAGCAGGAGCAGAAGGTCGATCTGTGAGCAGGCTTGGCATGGGCATGGGGGCAGGGGCGTCTATGGCCGCTGTTAGATCCGCATCTGCGGAAGGCATGCGTCCACTGAGTATGTATGCTGGGGTAGGAGCAGCCGCTGGAGCGATGCCAGCAGCAGCATTTCCAGCAGCCTTATTGCCAGCAGCTGCTATGCAAGTGCCAACAACAGCAGTGGCAACAGAAGCGGCAGCGGAAGGCATGCGTTCCTTGCGTGCGTTTGGCGGAGGCGAAATGGCAGTTGGGGCATTAGCAGGAGGAGTCCCATCAGCACCAGCAGCAGCGGCAGCAGAAGCAGCTGTGGCAGCGGAGGTGCAGTCACTAGAGGCTCTAGAGCGGCTTCTGAACCTGGACTCCTCGTCTGTACCCCAAACATCTTCTCTTCATGCCCCTTCTGAGAATCTACAGAATGCTTCTGCGTTTGAGGTACGTGAGAGGTCAAGCCCGCAGAAGCAGGTTTTGGATTTAGACTCGGCTGCTGCACTGCTGGGGCGAGTGGAGCGGCTGAGAGCGCAACTGGTGGAGAGGAAACGGCTGCTGGAACAGCAATCGATGGTGCAGCAGCAACAGCAGCAGCAGCAACAACAACAACAACAGCAGTTTCAGCAGCGGCCACAGCAGCAGCAACAGCAACAACATCAGCAGGTGCAGCAACAGCAACAACATCAGCAGGTGCAGCAGCAACAGCAGCAACAACAGCAGCATCAGTTTCAGCAGCAGCAACAGCAACAACGACAACAGCAACAGCAGCGGCAGGAGCAACAGGAGCAACAGCAGCAGGAGCAGCAGCAACAAGAGCAGCAGCAGCAACAAGAGAAGCAGCAACAAGAGCAGCAGCAACAGGAGCAAGGCGAGGTGTTTCTCCGGCAGCTGCAACAGCTGCAGCAGAGAGAACTGCAGGCGCTGCTGCTAATGCATCTGCAGAAAGAGATGCTAGAGCAGCAGAAACGTGTGCACGCACAGGGGCAGGGGCAGGGGCAGGGGCAGGGGCAGGGGCAGGGGCAGGGGCAGGGGCAGGGGCAGGGGCAGGGGCAGGGGCAGGGGCAGGGGCAGGGGCAGGGACAAGCACACGGGCAGGGGCAGGGGCAGGGGCAAGGGCTGGGCCAGGGGCAAAGGGTAACGCTACAGCAAGCAGTCCAGCTACAGCCGTCACAGCATCACATGGAGCAGCAGGTTCAGCTACAGCCGTCACAGCAGCAGGTGCAGCTGCAGGCACAGCTACAGCCGTCACAGCAGCAGGTACAGCTGCAGGCACAGCTACAGGCGTCACAGCAGCAGGTGCAAGCACCGCAGACACTAGCAGATCTGCAGCGATTGCTGTTGGCGGGAGGGTTGAGCACTCCCCTTCAAGCATCCTTGCAGCAACGGCTACAGCTGCAGCCACAGCCACAGTCACAGCCACAGTCACAGCCACAGTCACAGCCACAGTTACAACAACAGGTGCAGCCACAGTTACAGAAGCAGGTTGTACCAGTGCATGCAGTGAGCAATGCAGGAGGAGGAGAAGGGGGATTGGGATCAGAAGCAAGTGGAGAACCAGGGACAGGAGGAGCTATGGCAGGACTGACAGCAGCAACAGCAACAGTTGTTGCAAAGCCAGCATCGGCAGCAGAAGCACTGCCAACAGCGGGTGTTATTTATACCGGTGGAAGCCCAGCGTCCACCGGGCAACTCACGCGAGCAGCAGCAGATGCGATGGAGTGGAAGAGCCCAATCCGTAGCACAGTATCCCCAGTAGTGGCATCGCCTCCGAGTTTTGAGGCATCTCAAAACCCGATCCGTAGCATAATAGTCTCGGCAGTGGCATTGCCTCCAGAGGCCATGAGTCTCAGTGCCGGTGACCTGCCACCTAACACAGCAGCAGCCGCAGCAGCAGCAACAGCAGGAGCAGTGGTGTCAGCAGCAGCGCCAGGGGTTGTGGGACTCAGTTCAGGTGATTTGCCTTCCAACACAGCAGCAGCAGGAGTGGTGTCAGCAGCAGAGGCATCGGTGCCGGGGGTTTTGAGTCTGAGTGGGGGTGAGCTGCCTCCGAACCTGGCAGCAGCAGTGGAGGAATTGCAACGAGTTTTAGCGTCCTCCCAGCAGCAGCAGCAGCTGCTGGATCGGCACTCCCAACAGCCACAGCAGCAGCAAATGGAGCAGCAGCAGACACAGCAGGGGCAGGGGGACAGACAGAGGGCAGCACAGCAGGAGGGAGGGGAGGGTGGAGGGGGCATGGGCGGTTTCGGTGTGATTGTAAACGAGGAGGGTCTATCGAAGGGCACGTGGTTACCAGAGGAGGATCGAGTGCTAATGGAGTATGTGGAGTGTTACGGGGCCAAGAACTGGGGTAACCTGGTAACCAGAGGGCTGCTGAGACGCTCTGGGAAAAGTTGCAGGCTGCGATGGGTGAACCAGCTGAAGCCGGGCCTGCAGGTACGGATGAGTCGAACCAGGTCTTCAAGCGAGGGGTCTGTCATTGACCTAGACCACCACTGTGCTTGTTATGACCAAGTGAGGAAGATGATTCAGAGGGGGAGTTTTTTCTTGAGTCGCCCCCATGCTGCCTATCTGGCTGCTTTGCAGCTCTGTGTGGAGGATGGCAGCTAATTTGAGGCCTAATAGCTTTTGTTAGTTTATTCCAAATGCCAAAAGAAAACTTACAAAAGCTTTTCGGCCTCAAATATGCTGACATCCCTCACACAGAGATGCAACGCAGCCAAATAGGCAGCTTGGGAGAAACTCAAGAAAAAACTCCCCTTCTGAATCATCTTCCTCACTTGGTCATAACAAGCACGGTGGTGGTCTAGGTCAATGATAGACCCCTCGCTCGAGCTACTCCCCAACATCACCTGGATGCTGAAGAGTTGATTATAGTGCAGACATGGCACCGTTGCAAGTGGACGGTGGTTATGTGAGAAGCTGCAGGCATGGCAAGACAATGTTTTTCCAACACTTCCGCCCCAGTGTTCCTCCTTTCTCTTCTCTTCCACCCAATTCTTCGTGCCCCTTCCGCCCTTTGTTTGCAGAGGTACGGTGGCAAGGGCTGCAAGCGGTTCACGGAGCAGGAGTCCAACATCGTACTCGCCCTACAGGTAATGCACTTGTGATGTGAGTCGGCGTTCATATGCTGGGCGTGCAGTGCAGTCCGTCTCACCACATATGGACGCGCATATATGATGAGTTGGGCTGCAAGCGGTTCACAGAGCAGGAGTCCAACATCGTACTCGCCCTACAGGTAATGCACTTGTGAGGCACTGCCCTACAGTTAATGCACTTGTGAGGCACTACCCTAATGCACTTGTGAGGCACTACCCTAATGCACTTGTGAGGCACTACCCTAATGCACTTGTGAGGCACTACCCTAATGCACTTGTGAGGCACTACCCTAATGCACTTGTGAGGCACTACCCTAATGCACTTGTGAGGCACTACCCTAATGCACTTGTGAGGCACTACCCTAATGCACTTGTGAGGCACTACCCTAATGCACTTGTGAGGCACTACCCTGCGTAAGTGCCACACCTATTTGTAAGATAGGCTGCAAGTGGTTCACAGAGCAGGAATGTAACCCGGTCCTCGCTCTGCATGTGATGATACTCTACTGCTCTTTCGCTCTCTATCACACACCTGCCTGCCCAGCTGAATGACGCCCACAACATGCCTCCTTCCTTCTCTTGCTTTTCCCTTCACACGCCTTCTCCACCGTCTCCGCTCCCCCTTCTCCCATCGCCTACCCCCACCAGGAGGCACCGGGGCGGACGGACGCCCAGAGACGCCCAGAGGAGTGAGCGCAGATCACGAGGCACCTGCCGCCGGGGCGAACTTTTGAGTCAACTCAAAAGTCAAAAGTCACCTTTTGAGTCGACTCAGAAGTCACCTCATGCCGCCGGGGCGAACGGACGCCCAGAGGCATTTCCCCTTCTCACGCCCACTTCTCCCTCGCACTCCCCCTCCGTTCTCGCACTCCCCCTCCTCTCCTCCTTCCGGAGTCGCTGGGCAACAAGTGGGTGCAGATCGCGAGGCACCTGCCGGGGCGGAGAGGCACACACGGCCAGATTTGTTCCTCCTTTCCCTTCTCACACCCGCCCCTCCCTCGCACTCTGCCTCCTCCCCTGCCTTTCCCCACCAGGAGACGCTGCTGCTAGTGGCGGTGCTGCTGCTGCTGCTGGTGCTCTAAATTTCTCTCTGCCTTCTCCCCTTGCTTGCGCTACCCCCATCAGGAGACTCTGGGCAACAAGTGGGCGCAGATCGCGAGGCACCTGCCAGGGCGGAGGGACACACACGGCCAGAGCTGTTCCTCCTTTCTCTTCACACGTGCCCCTCCCTCGCACTCTGCCTTCTCCCCATGCTTGCGCTGTCCCCACCAGGAAACCCTGGGCAACAAGTGGGCGCAGATCGCGAGGCACCTGCCAGGGCGGACGGACAACGATGTGAAGAACTTTTGGAACCTGCACCTCAAGCGCATGGAGCGGCTGCGACGGCAGAGGGAGCAGAAAGGGGGCCATGCTGCTGCTGCTGAGAGTGGGGAGGCTGCTGCTAGTGGCGGTGCTACTAGTGGTGGTTGTGCTACAGGTGCTGCTGTTGCTGGTGGTTCTGCTGGTGGTGGTGCTGATGGTGCTGGTAGTAAAAGTGATGCTGGTGGTGGCGGTGGTGGTGGTGCTGCTGCTGCTGCTGCTGGCAATGGCGATGCCTGTGCTTCTTCTGCTGCTGTCCCTGCTGATGGCGCTGTAGTTTCAGCACCTGCTACTGATGCCGCGACTGCTGCTATTGATGCTGCTACTGCTGCTGCTTGTGTTACTGCTGCCGCTGCTGTGTCTGCAGAAAATGCAGAAAATACGACCAATGAAGGTGCTGCAGGGAACGGTGCTGGGAATGGCGCTGGGGGGAATGAAGTGCTCAGTGAACACAGCTGGAGATCAGAAGGTAAGGGGAAGCTGGAGTCAGTAACGGACGGCGCAACAGCAATCGAGGGAGCATCAGCAAGGGGGAACGTAGCAGCCAACGCAGCAGCAGCAACAGCAGCAGCAGCAGCAACAAGCAAAGGTAGCACGGGTCAAATGACTGCGCAAGGCGGGAGCAGCAGTGGCGGCAGCAGCAGCGGCGGCGGCGGCGGTGACGGCAGGCTTGCGGTGCTTGAGAGCACGAGCCGGTCTCCCTCCTTCTTCCTCTTCTCCCCGAGCTCCTTCACCTCCCCCATGTCTATCAGCCCGCTGCCCACCATCCAGGAAGGCCCTGACGCCCTTCATACCCGAGATGGGCTGGATGTTGTTGTTCAGATGCATGGCGATGTGGGTCAGGTGCAAGGAGGTGTGGCGTCTGATGCTGCATTGGAAAGGGGCGTGGCTACGGCTGCTCGTGCTGCTGCTGCTGGTGATGCTGTAGGTGAGGTACGCACGGTTCGGCTGCAAGAGCCGAAGCACCAGCAACAGCAGCAACAGCAGCAGCAGCAGCTGCAAGAACACCAGCAACAGCAGCAACAGCTACAGCAGCAACAGCATAACCAACAGCAGAAACAACAGCACCAGCAACAACAACAGCAGCCGCAGCAGCAGCAGCAGCAACAACAAGAGCAGCAGCAGCAGCAGCAGCTTCAGGGGGAGCAACATCAGCAGCATCTGCAGCAATATCAACAGCGGCAGCAGCTACACCAGCCACCAGCTCAGGTGTTCTCTGAAGCACCTCAGAAGCTCAGGCACACCCAGAGGACAATCCGGCAACCCCCGCTACCGCCAGCAGAGAAGCAGCTTCTACACCAGCCGCCAGCGCAGGTGCCGGCATCGGCTGTGGCGCGGCCGCAGGCAGTGAGGCGAAGCAGGACAGGGGAGCAGCGGCCTAAGGTGTCGCTGCACCAAAGGAGGCTCCAGAGAAACGCCTCTGCCAGCGCTGTGGCTGGAGGTGGGTGCAGTGAGACGGCTGGTAGTGGTGCGAGTGGTGCTACCGGTGGGAGTGGTGGGGGGTCTGCGAGTTTTGGGGGGTCTGTGAGCGGTGCGAGTGGCGGGGAGGATGGTGGCGTGAGGGAGGGAGGGGAAGGAGGAGGCGAGCAGCGGGTGCTGCGAGCGAGCAGTCTGCCGAATGTGCCCAGAGCTGGGAGCTGGAGGGACGGTGGGAGCTTTGGAGGAGCGAATGGGAGCTTTGGAGGGGCGGATGGGGGAAGGCGGACGATGGGAGAGGCGGCAGCGGCTGCTGTGGCTGCTGTGGGTGAGTGCCAGCAGGATGAAGCAGCTGTTGCCACTGCTGGTGCTGATGCTGTGGCTGTTGGTGATTCTGCTACAGTTCCTGCCGCTGCTTCCGCTGCCGCTGCTGCTGCTGCCATCGCAATGGGTCATCATGATCCCACCGCTCTGGCGGCCAGTGATAGCACTTGGAAATATTCTAGTCCACCTGCACACCAGCCAGCTGGGCCTGCTGCAGGAACTATCCAACAATCCAAGCATACGTCGGAACCTTCAACCACTCAAGAACGCACAAGCTCTCCTGTTGCTGCTCCTCCTGGTTCTGTGCTTATTGGATCAGCTCCTCCTATTGGCTCTTCACCCGAAGCTCCTTATTCAGCTGCCAGTCGTGGTGGCGCTGGTGCTGGTGCTGGTGGTGCTGATGCTAGTGCCAGTGGCGCTGGCGCTGGTACTAGTGCTAGTGCTGCGGGTGCTGCTGGTGGTGCCGGTGCCGCTGTTGCTGCTGATGGTGCTGGTGGTGCTGGTTCTGCTGCTGCTGGTGCCACTGGTGCTGCTGCGGCTGATGGGAATTCAGGTGCTGCTGGTGCAGGGTCAGCAGATGGGCCAGCAGCAATGGATATGGAGGACAGTGCAGAAAAGATCTCCTCCCTCAAGATCGGTGAGTTCTGCCTTTTGAGTCGACTCAAGTGTCATCTCTTCCCTCAAGATCGGTGAGTTCTGCCTTTTGAGTCGACTCAAGTGTCATCTCTTCCCTCAAGATCGGTGAGTTCTGCCTTTTGAGTCGACTCAAGTGTCATCTCTTCCCTCAAGATTGGTGAGTTCTGCCTTTTGAGTCGACTCAAGAGTCATCTCTTCCCTCAAGATCGGTGAGTTCCGCCTTTTGAGTCGACTCAAGAGTCATCTCTTCCCTCAAGGTTCTGCCTCTCCGCATTCAGCTGTGGGTGTGAGTTTAGGTTTGGTTCAGGCGTTGGATTGGGGGAACTCCTTGGGTCCGTTTGGATATTGCGTCTTCCTCGCCTTCCGAGCTGTCCGTCCCCAGCCCCCCTCTCATCTCCCACCACTCCCATCCTGTGTGACCTGTGTGATAAGTCAATTTTTGAGTCGACTCAAAAATAGGCTTATCACACATTGGGGGAACTCCTTGGGTCCGTTTGGATATTGCGTCTTCCTCGCCTTCCGTGCTGTCCGTCCCCAGCCCCCCTCTCATCTCGCACCGTTCCCATCCTGTGTGGCCTTGTGCCCTTCACGAGCTGACTCAAAGCTCATGAGCTGCCTCGTGAGCATTGAGTCAGCTCAGAAAGTCACTTGATGCCCCCATTTGATTCCCTATGCATCACCTCAAGGCACACCGCACCGCACATGCCCACTCCCATCCTTTCCCACACCTCTGCCTCCCTCCCTCTGCTGCTTTACCCCCTCTGCTGTCCCCCTCCCTGACTCCCCCCTGCCTCCCTCCCTCTGCTGCTTTACCCCCCCTGCTGTCCCACAGACTGTCACAAGCCTACCAGCAGTGACAGCAGCAGCGGCCCAGCAGCCTCTGGCGAGTTTCTCAACATAGAAGACTGGCTGCAAACCCCCACTCCGCCCCCTCGCCGCACCCCCTGCTCACCTTTCTACATCAACCTCTCCCCCTCCGCCCGGCGGCTGCGCTCCCCCCGCTCCCCCTCCCCCCGCACGGCTGCTCAGCAGCAGCAGCACCCCCCTGCTTCCCCCCGCCCGCTTGCCTCGTGGTTCTCTCCCCGATCGGAACGCCTCCCTCCCCGCTCACACCCGCACTCCCACTCTCACTCACACTCTCACGGTCACTCTCAAAATCACTCTCACAATCAGTCTCATACTCACGGGCACTCGCATGGTAGGGCGGCTCTGCCTCCCCAGAGCAGCCGGGGCAACCGAAGCAGCAGCAGCGGCAGTGGTAGCGGCAGCGGTGCCAGTGGGGGTGCTGGCAGTGCTAATGGTGATGGTGCTGCTGCCGATGCTGCTGCCGGTGCTGCTGCTAGTGCTGCTTGCGGTGCTGCTGCTGCTGCTGCTGCTGCTGGTAGTGACGGAGGCGGTGGCAATGCTGGGAATTCCAGCAGCAATGGCAGTGCTGGTAGCGGTGGCAGTGCTGGTAGTGGTGGCAGTTGTGGTGGTGCTGGTAGCGGTGGCAGTGGTGGTTCCGACCCAACTCCCACTCTCAGCCACATTCCAACCCGAGCATTCAACCAAACTCCCGGCCAAGCGTTTGGCGAATCGGTAAGTCAGCGCAGCGGGCGGCGCAGCCCGCTGGGAGCACTCAAGATCGCCCACCGGTCGGGATATCTCTGGTCCCCCCGTGCTGCCGTCTCTTCACCTCGCACCAACCACAACTCCTCCTCCTCCTCCTCCCCTTCCCCCAGACCTGGCGGGTCTGGCAGCGCCCTCTCCACCCCCTCCCCCCGCAACATGCTCTCCCCCTCCTCCCGCCCTTCCCCCCGCCCCTCCCCCCGTGGCGGATTGACCTCTCCTTCCCCTCGCGGCCTGTCATCCCCCTCCCCCCGCTCCGTCCACTCTCCGTCTCCACGAGCCTATGGGAGAACGGGACTCGCTCTACCGTCTCCTCCCGCTCATCCCTCCTCGGGTCCTTCTTCCCACCCATCCTCCTCGGGTAATCCACCCCACCCATCCGCCTCCGCACGGCCTCCCCGGTCCCGAAGCAGCAGCCCGTGTCCACGTCTTCCCAACAGCCCACTCCATCCCCGCGGGAGTGCTGCTGCTGCTGCTGCTGCTGCTGCTGCCTCCCATCCGCCTGCTGCTCCGTCCTGTCTCGGAGTGCCTGCTTCCAGTGCAAGTGCAAGCACGAGCGCCAGCGCTAGTGCAGACGCAAGTGAGAGTGCCAGCGACAGAGAAAGGGGTGATGGTGGAGGAGGGCAAGGTGAGACGGGGAGGCATGGAACCACCGTGCATGCTCCACCTGATGCTGCCACTGGAAACCAATTTCTACTGCCCGTTGACCCAGTTGGCCCAGGTGGCTCAGCTGAATTGGTTAGCTCGGTTAATCCAGAATCCATGGAACGTACTAGTTCCTTCCCCGTGACTTGTCAGCCTCAGCCTGAGCCACAGCAATCGTATCTGCAGCAGCAGCATCAGTGGAAGGAGCAGCAGCAGCAACAGCAACAGCAGCAGTGGGAGGAGCAGGTGGCAGAAGAATTGCAGGAGGGCAGAGGGCAGCAGCATCAGCAGCTGCATCAGCAGCAGCATCAGCAGCAGCATCAGCAGCAGCATCAGCAGCAGCATCAGCAGCAGCATCATCATCATCATCATCATCATCAGCAGCAGCAGCAGCATCAGCAGCAGCATCAGCAGCAGCAGCAACAGATGTCACAGATGCCACAGGTGCCGCAGAGAGTGGTGCAGCAGGTGTTACCATCCACTGCGGAGCCAGAGCCAGTCCTGCCAGCATATTCCAGCCAATCACTTTGGGGCTTCGTAGCGGAGATTGACGGCCCAGATGCATTCGCCGGAGGAATGGGCACCGGGGAAGACGATGCTGCTAGTGGTGGGGCCTTTCAGGAATCACTGTCAATGACTGCAGGTCAGGGGCAGACTGCAGCATCCCTTGACATGCACGATATTGAGCAGCTCCTTATGGGGGATGAATGTGCTGCTGACATGTCGGGCTGTGATTGGCCCAGCAGCGTTGGAAACCCTGGGATAAGGGAAACTGGCCCTGGAGGGACCACAGAAGTTGGAGTGGTTGGAGGAATACAGGATCACAGAGGAGTAACAGAAGCTGCAGTAGGAGTAACTGATGGAGCAGTAGCAACGCCTCTGGGTGAAACATGTACGGCTGGGGATGTGGCAGATGTGAGTGCAGTGGGGCATCTACTCTTTGATGATTCGTCAGCCATGCAGCAGCTGAGAGCTGATTGGCTGACTGATTTCCAGAGGAGCAATTACGCTGCCTTCACCCCTGACACTGGGGCTGTCCTGGTGCCTGGGCAAACGGCTGCAGCACAGCAAGCAGTCCTGTCATCAGCTGAGCATGCAACTGGAATGCCATCATCAGGGGGACCCTCTCTGCCGGTGCAGCAGGGGGTGTGGCAGCTTGGAGCGACCAAAGGCAGGCAACCCAATCAAGATGGGTCTGCTGCTGGAGGAGGAGAGTACCACTGGGGACAGGGCTTTGTGCCATGACATGTCATTGACTTGTGTCAATCTTTTGGTGAATCATGATGTTGCTGATGCGAAGCATCATTGGATTCAGGACTTAGTATGGTACAGTCCTTGGCCCTGCGGGAAGCTAGAAATCAATTGTTTTAGGCAAGCTTGAGTCTCTTTAGTGTTGTGCATTTAGGTACCTTGAAGAATTTGACAAGGTGTAAGGTGACTTCGTTCAGCTGTTCAATCCTGTCTTGCTCGTTTCACAGTATGCTTCCAATCCACTGTGGAGTTGCAATGCAGACTGGGCCAGCAAGAGTTGGATGCTGTGGCATTGGCCATGTTGGTTGCCCTTACCCAATCACTGCAAGCAGATGGATTGAATTAGGCACTAAGAACAGGACAGTACACCACAATAGCTCCAAAATGGCTGATACCAAGCCCCATGCCTCCCTGGCGACAGGCAGGAGGACAGTAGAGGCGGAACAGTAGCAGCAGCAGTACAGTGGGCGATATTTAGATGATGCCGATCTTGTTGGCAATGTCCAAAGCATCGTAGTCTGCTGTCAGCCGCACGTACGCCTTCTTCTGTCCGTCAGGCCTGCCACGTCATAGGGTGTAGGGATTGGGGTGACAGAAGATTGAAAGGGACGGGCATTGCGAGATGCAGAATACTTTAGTAGGTAAAATTTGGTAAGTCCAAGCACCAAGATGTCAAATATGAAGTTCATGAAGCGAATGTCTAATTCCTCCCTATAGAGTGATATGTGGGCTTGATGGTGATGCTCATGATGCTCATGCTGTCCATATGTTCTCCCAAAACAACAAAAAAAACCACAATAATTGTTACCTGATGAGTGTGTTGATCTTCTTGCACTGGATGTCGTACATCTTCCTGACGGCCTCCTTGATCTGCCTCTTGGTGGCCAGCAGATCCACAATGAACACCAGCGTGTTGTTGTCCTCAATCTTCTTCATTGCCGACTCAGTCGTCAGCGGGAACTTCAGCACCTGGGAGAGCGAGTAATAGGGGGATAGTGATAAGAGGGAAAAAAAGGTACGGAAACATCAGCATCGTGACAATGTTTTTTCCAGATAATTTCTTCATGCCCTACTCCGAGGTCAAAAGACCTACAGCTTGTGTTATGACGGAAATCACGAAAACCTCGGCACGAAAATGTCAGCTACGTCAAACTTTGCTGCACCCAGCATTCTCGCAAGTAGCTTTTCTGTAATCATATGCATCCATGACGCTAGGTTATCTGCAATCAGGAATGGCTCTGAAAATCCTCCTGAGAACGTACAGTCTTAGAACCTCGATAACTAGCCGCTTTCATTAACAAAGGACCCGAATGTCTCTGACCAGTAGTCAGGAAAAATTACAAATCAATAACTCCTTCAGAGTAACCGTGAATAGCCAGCAGCTTTGAATGCCACTGACTAGGCGTTCGAAAACTCGACGGTCTAAATAAGTCTCGGTTAAGATGATCTACGATCTTCAGATGCTTCGGATTCGTCGTTCAGGAAAGCAGCGACTGGAATGTCCTGACTACTCTTAGGGAACCTAGAATCGCGGGACGTCGTGGACTGGTCAGTCAGATGTCTAAGCTATCAGATGTCCTATTGAGGACAAAATTACCGGCTAGCGTGAAATCAACCAGCTAGAAAGTGACGGTCCTTCCAGGAGCACCAGCGCCTACTCCTAATCGTCGTACAACTTCTGGTGATGGAAGCGTATGAAGGCGATCTCCATCTGCTACTCAAGAAGTCAGCGTCAGCATCACGGACAGCCATGCGTGCAACAAGAAGCCACTAAGCACCCTTCGTTTGCAAACTACGCAGAACAACGAAAGGCATCGCGTGCACCATTCGTCCCTTGAAACTTTTCCACCCGAAAGTGGATCGTAATCTGTTTGAAGAGGGCTGGCTCGTCCACCACTGACCTGCTCCCCGCATTTAGAGATTCAGTGCAATCGGTTCCATTCGACAGCATGATAACAGAAACAGAGGTTCATTCGAAGATCCACTCACCCGTAACTGGTCGAGCTTCTGCATGGGAGGAGCCGAGATTCTGAGGCACTTAAGCCTCCGAACCTTCGCCAGGGATGCTTAAGCCGACTAGAAACACGCAAACTCGAGTCATAAACGAAGGTCCATGCGAATACCTACTCACCCGGAACTGGTCAAGCTTCTGCATGGGAGGAGCGGAGATTCTGGGGTACTTGGGGCTGCGAGCCTTCTTCAGGGTCTTGGGCCGGTGGAAGTGCACGGACGTCCGGACCTTGAGGATCTTCTTCCTGCTCGTCTTCTTCAGGGCCTTGGCGGCCTTTGCGGCTTGTGCCTTGGCATCGGGCTTGCCTGGTGAAGGAAACAAGGGTGAGAGCCACGAATTAACTTGACGGATAAGGAAGAAACGAACTCTGATCCTGGTTTATTCCGCACAGCACTGATGTACGTAATGCGGACCAGTCGGTTCGATAATGACAACAAACGGTACGAGCATTATCTATTTCTTCAACCCTAACATTCCGTGCCGCAGATACTAAAAAAAAACCAGAGAGGGAGAATCCCGCACGAATTTCATCAACGACCACCTTCTAGGGTCATGGAAGCACCGGCTGCCTGTAAGAAACCCTAATCCAACGGCTGCTACATTCTGCTAAGCTGTTGTCCTAAATTTCCACCATGACGAGTCCATGGTACTATCATAAACCCGGAGGAAAACCGTGAACATCAAACTAGACGACGCGTAACATTTTCGCGCCCTCACCTTTGGGCGCCATGGCTACTTCTGCGACTAGACGGTGTGAGAGTTACAAGAGAAGGGACCACCCCAGGGCAGAAAGGAAGGTGGAAGAGGGGAGAGACTGGGCTTTGAAAACGTAGCTGCTATGTGCAGTCAGAGAGGCGCAAGCGAAACAATTCTCAAGGGAAGGGGAGGGTGGAGGAGAACATGGAAGCAAATTGATATTCAGTAGAGTACCGATGGAAACTGAACTGTCGTGACAAGAAACGAGAAGTAGCGTACCGAGGATGATACTCGCTCGGTCATTTGGGATTTGCGGATGGGGTCTCATCCTTCCCTCAATAAGTTGAAATAATGAAGAACCTCGCGAGTGCAGTTAGTACACTGGCTGATAGAATACAGCAACAAATACCACTTGATTTAGTCAGTTCATACACAAAAGAGCACATACACATGTAGGGCATGAAATTCATATTCACTCTCTTCCAAGAAGACTATATCATTGTACGGTAGCTTCAGTTAAGCAGCGAGAACTGCTGCAAGATCTTCTGATTTCCCTCGCACATAGATCGTGTACACCAGACGAATTGCATCCACCCAAGCATCCATGGAGTCCCAATCGTCCGCCACCTGCATCACGCACACAATGCAACAAACGAAATATTGAGGACCAAGCAAGGACCAGACATTGAAACCATCCTACCGTAACTTCACATCAACTTCACCTACAGTTTTTTAGCAACCAAACAACTACACTCACCATGTAAAATGGCCCATCTACAGTGTCCAGCACAATGCCTCCACCAGCCGGCAGGCTGAGATCAGCACAAGCCTCCACTGACACAATCTGGCCAATATCCACTTGAATCGGTGGAGGCGGCAGTGCAGAAACTGCATCCTCCACACTAGAAGACAAGTTTGGCCGCCCACCCATGGCATCCGACGACCACCTTCCCCCATCTGACGTGGCAGCAGCTGAACCAGCGGTTCCAGCGTTGGCGGGCGCGGCAGGTGCGGCAGCAGTTGGGGGAGCGGGCTCAGGCTTGGGGACGATCGAAGCTGTTACAGAGGTCTGGGAGTTGGCTGTGTTGCGGCGGGAGGTCAGGTTGCTGTGGGGTTGCTTAGGCTCGGGCTTCTTGCCCTGGAGGCATTTAGAGGGATGGATGAAGGTCGGGGCGACAAGTGAGAGGGGAGTAAGGGAGAGTGTAACGGGAGTTTGCGGAGAGCGTGAGGAGAGATTGACGGAGAGTGTGTGGAGAGTGAGGAGAACACCTTACACAGCATGGCCCTTAGCAACAGAGACCCCAACAGGCTTCCAGGCACCAAACAAACCCTTTTCAAGCCACTCAAGCGACTTTTGAGTCGACTCAAAAGTGACCTCAAGCCACTCAAGCACGCACATTTTCCAGCCGCGCACAACGCGAGCAGCACGCACCTCCTTGAGCCGCTCATGGTCCAGCACAAACCAGAGCAACGAATAACGCCAGCAGCAGCAGCAACAGCAGCAGCAACAGGGTGAGCAGCAGTCCCACAGACAAAGCACGCACCTCCTTGAGCCGCTCATGGTCCAGCACAAACCAGAGCAACGAATAACGCCAGCAGCAGCAGCAACAGCAGCAGCAACAGGGTGAGCAGCAGTCCCACAGACAAAGCACGCACCTCCTTGAGCCGCTCATGGTCCAGCACAAACCAGAGCCTGAGCCACTCCGCATGGGGAGCCAATGAGTTGCCGCCAGGTGGCACTGTGAGGTAGCCGCCCTTGAGATACGGGAGGGGCAGCTGGGCACGCTCGGACATAAGGTGGTGAGAGGGAAAGAAAGGGATGGGGAAATTGTTGAGTTACTCATGACCACTGCTGTGGCACACGGCAGTGGCACGGTCCACCACGGAAGATATTTTAGGTTTCTTATCTGATGGCATCGCAGTGGCACTGAACTGACTGTTGAGTCGCCTTGAAAATGGCATGAAAAACTCAGTAGAATCACTGCGATGGACCAATCATCAGTGGTGGTACACTTATGACAGTGGTCGAATCATATGTGTGAGGTTTAGGATTTTACTGTTCTTATATAAAAGTGCATGTTCTTGTATGTGTATGGGCAGGTGTGCGTGCAAGTGCGTGTGCGAGTGTGTGTGCGAGTGCATGTGCGAGTGTGTGTGCGAGTGCGTGTGCGTGTGTGTACGAGTGCGTGTGCGAGTGTGTGTGCGAGTGCGTGTGCAAGTGCATATGCAATGGAACGTGTGTGCGCATGTGAGTGTGCTTGTGTAGGTGCATGTGCACTTGCGAGCG